TTATACCAGAAGCAATGGCGGGTGCAAGGGACAATGAGACAGCAACAGGGACAGCAGGTCAGGGTAAGTGGGGAAAATGTCAGCCAAGAGACAGGAGGAAGATGAAGACAGGACGGACCTGCCCATGGATGGCAGGTCAAAGCAGCAGCTCAAGAAAGTGTAAACAGAGCTACTGATCCACAGGGAGTTTCGGCTCCTACAAACTTCTGTCCTAAAAGGCGGAGAACCGAAAGCAAGATCATGGGGACCGATTCCACCTGGAAGCTCGTGGGGGAGGTGACTACGCCCTGGGCCATGCTCCAGGGAACTGGCCCTCGTCACTGATCCCTAGAGTATTCACCTGGCTTCTCCACACGAGGAACACGAGGACCCCGGTCTCAGGAGGGGACCACGGCTGAATCTCAGCGAGGCCGAATGCATCTGTCTGGATCCTTCGTCGTAAACCGTTGAGCTTAACGCGGACGAGTCTCATGCACCAAATGAAATGGTCGGAAAAGTAATTCTCAGACTCTCCAAGAGGGCGCATCAGACATGACGCTGACGAGGTCAGAAACGGTGCCAAAAATCACAAAAAAAGCTGCAGCAAAGACCAGACTGCTGAGAAATCTGGAAATAACGGCCCGGCCCGGCCCGGGGTGAGACAGTCGGGTTTGCCTGGAGACGGGAAAGACAACTCATTTTCTAAGCAATGCTGTTGAGATGTGTGTTAATATCTATTCTCCCCTCTCTGTAGCAGTAGCTCTCAATCTGGAGAGATTTCACCAGCTGGGGACATTGGGCCATGTCTGCAGACACTTTTACTTCTCATAAGCAGGGGGACGGGTGCTACGGGACCCCAGTTGGGTAGAGGGAGGCCAGAGACTTTGGCTCTCCACGCTGCCTGTGCTTGGCCGTCCTCAGCCTGCCTCTGAGCGGTTCGCTGTGGCTCAGAAGCCAGGGTGCCCGCAGCTCAGTGACAGCCTCGGCTCCCCGATCTCGGGCACTACCAGTTATTGACTCCTCAATAGGTGAACACGCAGACAGTGACGACCTCTGATGTCAGATGTCAGCGATACGGAGCCGTGGGCAAGCCCACTGCTTGTTTTTGTATCCCTCACGAGCGGTGTTCATATTTTTAAATAGTTAAAAAAAAATCAGCTGAGGCCCCAGAAGGGTTCTGACCTACGCGCTCCCCTACCTCCGGGTGCCCCACGCCCTGCCTGGCCTCCTGCTCTTTGTCCCCTGTCACCCCCACCCCACCAGCACTCACGGCCACCTCTCATGCCCAGCAGGGTCCAGATCTGGGCACCTGCTCTGTGGCAAGACACGGCAGTGGCCGTCCCGTGCCACGATAGCTGTGTCATGGCCCACTCAGCGAGCCTCCCTCCCACCCCGATCCTGGTCCCAAGCCCCTCGTCTGCTTCTCAAGCACAGACCCCGATTCGCATCTGGCCCGAGACTCTACAAGTATGTAACTGGTCTGGCCAGTAAATGCTCATTTTCTCATTTCTGTTTTTCGAAAGATAACTTCCATTTCCCCCTCCCTGCCCTTCTGTCATTGGGCATTTCCGTTCTGCGAGAATCATAAGAAATACTGTTCCATAGAGCTTCTATGGGGCCGGCGTGGTGGCACTGTGCTGTCGTGGATGCGGCTGGCTTCTGCCAGGTTCCCCCGCCAGGCCCTTCTCAGACGAGCAAGGTCAGCCTCCGTGCTGCACACGCCGGCGGCTCCTGGAGGCAGAGCCCGCGGATGAGTCTGGGGGCCTGCAGATAAGTACTGGGGTTCTCTCATACACCAGCCGCTTGAGCTCAGACCCTGTCCCGGGTCTGCTTCTGGAGAAACCTAAATCTAGACAGTTCTCTAAGTCAGAGCCCAGATTAAGCACGAAGAAAACCTGGATCAATGAATCGCCTAAAATTATAGCAATGCAGCCACACGCAGCAGGGCTTTTAAAGTCCTGGCTGTGGAAGTTCATGGACAGTTGTCACCCATGGCCTAAAAGCAGGTTGCAGCTTTGACCGACACAGAGAGACTCTAGATGCTACAACGCAGGCACCAAATTCGAGATAATGAAGGTTTAGTTTTTTTCCCGTGGGGTTCATAAATGTCACACGTGAAAACTAAATGAATCGCTCTACCTAACGGAAATCCGACCCCACAGTAAAATAATATCTCTGTGGAAAAAAGAGGCTCAGAGAAGGGAACATGTGCCCAGCACGTCACATTCTCAATAACTCGACTGAACTGGACCGGAGTTCTCGAGCAGAAAAGATTAAATATCGATCCTTCCTGCGAACGGGGAGCGGGCGATCTCGGTTCTCCATCTCCGTCCCCGCGTGTCCATCCAGGGAGAGGAGACACTCAAATGTCCCCACGTGTCCGTGATGACTTTCCGAAAGCTTTTCTACGGTCGATGACTTTTGGAGGAACCATTTTTACTGAGATCACCTGCCACAATTGTCACTGAAAAAAATTATGATGTCCCCACGCCGAGAAAACAGAACTTTATATGAATGCCAGTGAGACTGGAATGTCAGAATTATTAGCTGTTAGCATTAAAACTTCACGCACGTGATCAGGTTGAAAGGATTCTTACTAGATCTCTCATAGTCTCGCGTGGATTTTTTCTTTTTAACATGATTTGATTTGTATCGTAACGGATGGGGAAGTCAGCATTCCATACAATAGGTAAGTGACAAGAACAAACCAACTTAGATTCAAAAAGATACTTCAGAAACCTGCTTCTCACCATCCTTTTCAGGTACATAATTTCCGTTTTTAACAAGGAAGCACAACCATCTCTTGCTCTGACTTCATAAAAGACGAGCTAAGCAATGACGGTTTCTTTCGACCGTTTTAATTTTTCTTATTCTTATTCCTTCAGTGATTATCAAACTTAAATCCGTATTCATACTAAAAATATATAGCGGGTTGTTCTATTTAAGTCGAGGCTGGTGTGTTCAGCATTATCCTATGCTTCCCGGAATAGTCTCAGCTCTTCTTGGCACGGATGTCCACGGGGATTTTCTGGCGTCTTTGCAGAAACACGTGAGGTTTGCTTCACTGCTCCCCTCAAGTGCCACGGAGGACAAAGCGGTCAGCTTTGACTCTCGGGGGAGTTCCCCGTCCTGGCAAGTGAAATGCAGAAGGGGTCCCTTTTTCGAGGCAGACAGTGTGAGCTTGCGGGGGACAGTGAGATCATTTCTCAGTTTCTGCCTTTCTGTTCTGCTTGTTTGGGATCCTTCTCGAAAAAAACGACAATGCACCACCTTGGCCGTTACTGGTGTCAACAGCGGCTGCGCATGGCAGCTTGGGTCACTTGCTGTGTGTGAGGAGGAAGGTAACGAACTGCTGATACCCAGCCAGCCCGCGCAAGACCAGAAATCACCTGTCACAGCGCGACCCAAACTGCTGGCCCCAGGACCGTGAACGAACCAAACAGTGGGCCATTAACTTGTAGACTCATTCGTCAAAACATCCAAAGCTGACCGATACAAATACTTAAAAGGATTCTAAATTTTGTTTTTACTCTAATGAGCGTCCAGGAGTTGTGACCTGAAAATTATTCCCCGACTACTCCAAAAAGCAACGTTTTCAGTCATAAAAAACATTTTTTCCTTAAAAACACTTTTCGAAAAAAAAATCAAATGATCAGAAAGCCTAAAGCAAGGAAAGGCACCAGAGGTCATCATCTGAAACATGTTCACAGTCCCTTTAAATTATTATTTTATTATTATTTAGTTATCATTATTTTATGATGATGATGATTAAATTATTGCATAGCTCGAACAATAGGAAACCAGGTGTGTATATGAACCATCTTCTTGTTCAGAAGCACCAAGATTACTTTAATTAAAATGTTTTTTATTTTTCCATTGCAATTAACAGACTATGATATTAGTTTCAGGTGCTCAACACGGTGATCAGACATCGATATACCTTACGAAGCGATCTCCCCGATAAGTCTCGTACCCATCGTAATACACGGTTATTCCGATATTATTGACTGTATCCTCTATGCTGTGCTAAGTTTAGTTTCCACGCCAGAAAATGCATAAGTCTAAATTTCCGGTTCGATCCGTTTTGATGATACATGCGCCCTCATGACCCAAACCCTATCAAAATGAAGAACGTTTCCATCGTCCAGGCATTTCCTGTGTGCTCCTCCTCAGTAATCCTCACCCCGAAGCGACCAGGGATCTGCCATCTGTCCCTAAACACTAGACTTGTCTTAGAATTTCGTGTGACTATATATGTCCTCGTTTGCGACTGGCTTCTTTGGCTCAGCTTCTGCTGTGTTGGACGTGCGTCTTTATGCGTCGCATGCGTCGATCGTCGATGCCTTTCCATTGCCGCGTGGGCTCGTGTCCCATGGCTCAGCCACTGCTCATTTAACTGTACTCTTACCATTTTTCGTTTGAGGTGGCTGCACATTAAACTGCGGCGAATATTCTGGCACAAAGCACTTGTGGCCGTATGTTCTCATGTCTCATAGGTCATTTCCCAGGGGTGAGGTTGCGGGGCATAGGGCCGATCCGTAAGTAAACTTCTTAACAAACCGCCAGAGGGTTTTCCGAAGCAGTTTCACTATTTTATATTCCCAGCAGCGGCGTCTGAGAATTCTGCTGGTCCCAGAACCTCACCGCGCTTCACCCTGATCAGTAACATCAGCGATGCTCATGCCTCTGGGATGGTATTTTGTTGCGTCCCAAATAACTTCTTTTTAAAGATATTTTTAAATTGCTTTTTTACGTGCAAGGGCAGAACAACGCGCTTCGTCCTGTTCGTTCCCAGGGCCTCGTTGACACACACTGAGCTTTACCTGCTCCATTAATGTTCAGAATCGTGATTTCTGGTTGGCTCTGTCACTCACGGAGGAAGTTGCGGTTTCTCTGATAAACTCATCACCGAAAAGTGAAAGGTATCTCAGAGAAACAGTCTTGATGACGAGAGCATGCAACGTGCCCTGCTGCTTACTACGCATGGGCACCGTGATCAATCCCACCTGACACAGCCCAGGCGAGCCAGGTGGGGATTCGAACCCACTTCTCCGTCGAAGGCTCACATTCCCCGCCTCCTGTTCTGCTGGGCGTGAGTGTGCACAGACCCAACGCGGTCCGAGGAGCTCGGTTCTGGTCATGCAGGTTCTAGTCCCAAAGGGTGGAAGGCCAGAGCCGGAGGGAGATGCTCCAGGCACGTGGCCTCTCGTCTCTGCTTGTCCAACCGCCTCCTCTCCCTGAGGGGGCAGAAGCAGTGAGAAGAAGGCCAGCTTGGCTGTGGGGTCCACCACGCTGATGGCCCTGGCGAAGCTGCTGAAGGTGACAACAGACACACAGCGTTCTAAGCCAGAGATCGGCCAGCGTTCTCCGTAGCGGGGCAGAGAATGAACACGCAAGGATTTGCTGGCTCTACGGTCTCTGTCACAGCTACCGAACTCTGCCATGGTAGCTGCACGCGGCCGGAGACAACGTGTTCGTGAGTGGGTGTGGCTGTGTGCCAATAAAACTTTATTTACAGAAACAGTCCGCGGGCCGGATTTGGCTCGTAGGCCATACTTTACTTACCCTCGTTCTAAACAAGGGATTTGGAATCACGTTTTGATTTTATTTATCTATAGTCGGCCTGGTCCCCTCACCTCTATCAAAAATCACCCAGGAGTGATGCGTGGGCTGCTGAGGACAGAAGCATGGGCCGGAGCTGAGAGAGCCGCCCGTGCCTTCGGCCGGAGTGGAGTCGTCATCCTGTCTGTCCCTTTGCCACCGTGGGCTCGGGTATCACTGGGGTAACAGCCCGCCTAGAGGCTGCTCAGTCTCATTCTGCCCAGCCGTGCCTAGCCCTCCCTCCCCGCAAACAGGAAGGAAGCAAAGAAAATCAGCCAAGTAATGAATCCTGTGGTGTCCAGCAGTTACGCCGGCCAGGACGAGTGAATTATTTAAAACTGAAAATTAATTATTGAAGGAGAGCTCCCAAGACTCCTCTGACCATGCAGCCATGGAGGAAATGGCAGGCCATCGGAACTCAGATGCGATAAAGCGGGGGTCTGTGCCCTGATGCTGGTGGCTCCTGGAGTGGGTGAGCCCAAGATGCCGCACCGGGCATGGGGGTGGGGCCCGGCCGGCCCCCCGCAGTGAGGTGCAGGCTTTAGAAGAGAAATGGTGGGTACGTAAACGCACCGTAAACGCGCAAACCGTGTTAACATAAACGCCTCTCTCCCCGGGCAGACCAGGATGCTTCACTGTGTTTGGCTTATGTTCTCTGGAATCGTGGAGACTTAAGGAAGAAATAACTTTTAGATGAGGCCGCTTTAGCTGCTTGTTTCTCTCCGTGTCGCTGGCCTGAGAGGAAGCTAGAAGGGGCAGGACATTTGATTTTTCCAGGGAGAACTATTTGCCGGATGTGTGAATGAACGAATCCACCAGAACTCACAGAGGGTTTCCCAGAAGCCAATATTTTTCCACCAAATTGTTTTTTTTATTTTGGAATAAATATAGATTCGCAGGAAGTTGCAAGAATAATACAGAGATGTCTCTTGTTCCCATCACCCATTCTCCCCCAGCGGTGACATCTTATATAACTATAGGGCATTATGAAACCAAGAAATGGACATAGGTATCATAGTATAAATTAGTGTAGAGTCTTCTTACCCGACACGGTCGTAGCCACCAAACCCTGCACTGTTTCAAAATTGTATCCACGATTCTTTTGCCAGATGTTGCTACAGTGTCCTGGTCTTGGTATCATTTATTTCCTTGGACTCCTTGGGTCCTGCAGTGACTGTCTCCAGGGTTAGGATTGAATTGTACCAGGTGACATGAGCTTGCAGAGAGAGAGAGAGACAGAGACAGAGAGACAGAGAGACAGAGAAAAAAAGCTATAAACAGGAGACCTTAATTTGAGCCATTAAAGAATGGTCATTCTGCAATCTACCACATTCTAAGAATCTGGCTTTTTCCATGTGCTCACATCTCTACAGAAAAAGCATCATTTTTTTTTCTTTCCTCCTAGTGATTACAGGGCAAATACTGTCGGTTTTGAAATCAGAGAAGCGAGAACGCTTTCTCTGAAAACGTAGCTGGGGGCGGGGAAACGAAGCAATTAGGTAGAATAATCGCTGCCTTGAAAAACAAGTTTCCTTGTGTTGACGGAATACTGGGAGAGAAAAGGGGACCCCCGTGTGTGTCCTCCTCATCTCTGCGTGCGTGTCCGAATACCAACCGATTCCCGGTAAAGTATGCACGCGCGAATTTTATTTTTAACAAACGCTATGCCAAGTATGCATCCGTGTCTCATCCCCTGTCTCTGAAATCATCGACTGTGACCTAAATAGCTGGGGACAGAGGCACGAGAAGAATTCCTCCCTCGGCAGGAAGATTGGAGTGCAAGAGATGTGGATGGCCAGGGGAGACAGGGCTGTCTGGGTGGGGAGGCGCAGCCACGTGGCGTCCGCCTCCAAACACAGAGGACAGGCGTGAGTGGGGGCCCGAAGGCGACTCGGGGAGGAGGCCCTCAACGCGCTGACTTGGGAAATTAGTTTGCAAGAGCAGCTCGCTTTTGAAACTCGCTTCTTTAGGGTGCACGAGGGCAAACAGACACGACAAAGCCCCAAGTGGTGGGGAAAGTTCATTTCATACGATGAAGCTCACCTAGGGAGGCATCTCCGCGTGCTGTTAAAAAATTAATTATTAATTTTGTACGGTTTAATTTTGAAACTGGAGCGTGCAGGCCAATAAATCAACCGTGCCGAGCACCCCGCTCCGTCTCCCCCACCCCCTTCCCGCTCACCCCCACAAGCAAACACTCTCCATTTCAATGGGGTTCCATTCTCACCCCATTCTTCTGGAACGTGCCTCCACATTTCTAAATCACATGCCCGTACTTACGGTTCCTGATGCATTGATTTTAGTCATTTCGTCATCTTCTATTATGGTATTTGAGAATTTTGCTGGGTAACCACCCTAGCGCAACGACCCCCATCACCTCAACTTAGGTATCATCGGTTTCATCACTATAGACTTCAAATTATCGCGGCTTGGTGAGTTCTCCGGTGACCAAAGTGGTGAGCTGTGACGGCCTCGCCTTCCACGGAGAGCTCCGCACACATTCCGGAATTAAAACTTGTCTCGTGTCTTGCTCAGTTCTCCAAGAACGTATGACATTTTTTTTCCACTTGTTTTCCAATATCTATCGACACATCCCCCGAATGCTCAGACACACTAACTACCTTAATTGTCCCCACGTCTGCACCCGGAGCTCAAGAAATACACTCACTGGTTGGGTCTTGAAACCCAGCGATACTGCCCCGGACGCTCGCCCCACTCCACCCCCACCCCGTCTCCTGAGTCACGTCTGCCTCCTGGCTTCCCGGTTCTTCGTTCCATTCACTGCTTCGTGCTTCTGAAATACATTCTCCAGCAGCTTGAGAAGAGAATGTGCGTGCAAGACATCCAGTGCCCGTCCTCCCGTGATAAGTGGTAAATAACCTGCTTTCTGCCCTCTTTGTTGTTAGAGAGAGAGAGATGTTTGTGCTGGAAATGTCCTCGGGGATGGTCACTCCCCCCTCCCCCACTGTCCCTGCAGACCTGTGTGTCCCCTGAGGAGTCACCTGCCTTTGCATCCCTGTTCTTCAGAGGTGACCTGTCTTCCTTCGCAGGACCTGCCAGCCCCGTGATGTTCCCTAGACATGACACACCCATGCCAAAGTCGGTTTTCTACGAGGTCTACGAGCCGGGATTTAAAAGATATAAAAGAGAGACGTCACCTAATTTCAGGATGTTCTATTGAATCCGGTAGACCACGGACGTGAGCGTCACAACCTGTAACGCGTGCAGAAGGACCGATGACGTGCGTCACGTGAAACTCGTCGTCGACGTCGGGTGTGTATCTGCGCACACAAAACGCACCCCGACTTGGACGTGATGCGTGTCCCATGCTGCGTACAGCCCTGTGTGTCCCCTGAGGAGTCACCTGCCTTTGCATCCCTGTTCTTCAGAGGTGACCTGTCTTCCTTCGCAGGACCTGCCAGCCCCGTGATGTTCCCTAGACATGACACACCCATGCCAAAGTCGGTTTTCTACGAGGTCTACGAGCCGGGATTTAAAAGATAAAAAAGAAAGATGTCACCTAATTCCAGGATGTTCTATTGAATCCAGTAGACCACGGACGTGAGCGTCGCAACCTGTAACGCATACAGAAGGACCGATGACGTGTGTCACGTGAAACTCGTCATCGACGTCGGGTGTGTATCTGCGCACACAACGCACCCCGACTTGGTCGTGATGCGTGTCCCGTGCTGCGTGGCACATGGAGTGGCAGCTGCCATGTGACAGTGAGGTTCTAGAGTCCTCTCTTCATGCCCACGATGCTCCTGGTTGTCATCTCTGCTCCGTTCTGGGCTCTGTTCAGAACCTGTCCAGCATCAAGCATCCTGGGCATCGGGGCTGGCGTCCTGTCCTAGGAAAGAACCGCCGACTTCTGGAAGGGGTGACTCTTAGGGCCTTATTGGGTACCAGGCAAGAAGGACCCGGAGGGTGAGACCCTGCCCTGACGGGTGTCAGGCTGGGAGAGGGATGGAGGGGCACAGGGATGGAAGGACGAGTATAGGCCAGCTCTCCTCTTCCTCCTGGGCCGTGGGGCCATCAAGGACTCCACGTTCCCTTTGCTCACGGGCTCCCTCCCCACTCTCTCCTCCCCCACTTCCCCTCTCCTTCTCCCTCTCTCCCTCCACATCTCTTTCTTCCTCTCTCTCCCTCCCCCTTTCTCTGTTTCTCTCCCCACCTCTCCCTTTCCTGCCTTTCCCCTCTCCACCTCCTCCCTGCCCCTCCTTAAGTCCCCATGGCAAGGGAGACCCACAGGTCCCCACCGTGCTGAAACAGAGCATAATCCCTCTACTCTCGGTTAGGTGACAAAAGATTCTCACTGCATCTGTCACCTTAAAATAACAGTGGAGAACACGAGTCCTTGTTTGGTGTCAAACATCCACGTAGCATTCGCCAGGAACCTTCCCCTGCTCCTAACCCTTCTGCAAACGGGGTCTCGTTTCCTCCTCCCTCCAGCCCTGAAGGAGGTGCTGGCTTCACCCCCGCTGCAGAGCTGGGCACGAATGCCAGGCCCAGAGGGCACGAGCGTGTCCCCTGTGGTGTCCCCAAACCCCATGCTCCCAGCCATTCGCGGTGGCCCCCAGGAAACTGGAAGTGGTCTTGCGCTCTACTGCGAAGTGTTCAACTCTGAACTTGACGCCCATGGGTGCCGAACCGAGCTGGGCAGAGCGGGTTGAAATCCGGAGCCGAGCCGGAGCTCAGACGAGGCCAGAGTCCTGAGGGCTCCCTGGGGCCTCCATCGTGACCGGAGGCGGGCGCTGAGACGGCCCCTCTCCCGTTCCACCCTGCACCTGGCTGCCCGCTTCGAGCCGCCCCGCAGGACCCCCACATAAGCCGAGAGGATGCGGCTCACGCCTGCTAATGCACGCGAGCCTCCCGCTTCCGAACACCCCACGTCCACTGCTGTCCCCGCTGCGTGTCACCTGCGAACACAGACTCTGCTGCGTCCCGTCTGCCCGCAGCGTTTGCCACAGGTGGGTGAATGTCCAGTCCGTCACCTGCGTCCCGATATGAGCCATCCAGCTCCACGCTCATGAGATCCAATGATTTTAGACTGCCCTACTTTGCATTACAGGAGGGTCGTGACAGCAGCTGGGTGACACAGAGCCTTCGGTCTGTGAAAAAAAGTCTGGATAATCATTTTAACGACGTCGACATGGCAGGGACTAGGTAAATCGGTTTTTCAGAGCACGGAGCTGCGATGACTATTTACCTACAGATCAACAGCTCGTGGTATTTTGTACGTGACACTTTATGCGTGTAATGATATCTGACCTTCGGCGTTCGGGACTGGTTAGTCGTCACATCCCTGGGTGTCCCCTTATTTATTCATCTATCTGTCCTCCATTCTCACGTTTGCCTTTCCCCTGTCCTGGTGTCCCCCTCGCCCCTCGCAGCCCACCAGGAACGGCTACACGCGGCTCTTAAAATCCTAGGCGCCCTGCTTTGCAGAAATTCTGACCTACTCCATCCTTTGCCAAGCCCAGGTGGAGGTAAGGATTTCTGAATTTCGTAAAGATGGCGTCGACGGGACAAACAGACGTTCCAAACTTGGAAGCAAGACATTTGAGAAAGACTCCAGCTTCTGCAGATGGACAGGGCCGGCGTCCTGTATTCAAGTCAGACAAAAGCAACAGGACTTGGTGACTCTGCTCGTGAGCGACGAGCAGCCTGTGTGCCCGGCTCTGCAACTACCTTTGAGTGAATTATCAGGAAACGAATGAATACGGGAACATGGTTTTTGAGTTTTAATGTGATATTCAATAACTATCTAGGAATAATGAGCTAATTCAGGACAACTGTTTTCGAAAGGCTATTAAAATATAGCCTTGGTAAATTAAACGGCACAGGTTCTTCTTGATTCTCCTTTTAACCAAATGAATGAATTATTTTTCATGCATTTAATAAACATTAGATAACTACAAATTGGGTTTTCCCTTATCGTGGTACTGATATTTTCAGTATGTATCCCAAAATGTGACATTGGACGTTGCAGAGATATTCCTGAATTCTTGCATGGCAATTAGTTCCTAATTTCACTGGAGTTTTTATTTTTTTCACCTGAGCTCTCAAAAAAGCGCCATGCTAATGACGAATTACCCTCGTTGGTTCATCAAAGCAAGCCCTCACAGGACATCCTTAAGATGACAATTTAATCACCTAAACTGGGTTATGATATGTTGTTAACCACGATCCCAACGTCGATGTTTTAAAATATTAGAAATTCAGGACTTTTCTCTGAATTCACAGCAACCTCCCCAATAACCTGATCCGCTGGCATGTCACCCTTATTCCCAAACTCTACTTCTCATATCTGCACGGACGAGGAGGCCAAAGCCATCTCATCGGTAATCATAAAGCGCCCAGGATGAACACCTTCCGGCAAGAGACGAAAATCACTCACTCCTGCGTAGTTACTGCACCCACCTGGGCAGCTCAGACTCAGCCCACCCTGGCACCCCGTAGCGGTTGGGGCCGGGACAAACGCGGGCAGCAAAGGCGTGGCTAGATGCCTCCCCCCCACTTACAGAGGGTAAGGCCCTGGGGTCAGACTCCCCCTCACTCAGAACATTTATTCTACAGAAGCTCACGATTTTAAGATCACCAGGGGGCTGGAGGGTCCCAGATTTATCCAGGATGCTACTCTTTATCTCACGTACACAAGGCAGCCCCCATGACAAAGAATGACCCGGTCCACAACGTCAGTAGGGCTGAGGTCGAGAAATTCTGCCTCGACCCAAGATGGGGCTCAGAGGGAGTTTCGGGCCAGTCCCTGTGGGTGACGCCGGTGCCCATAGAACGTAAACGAGCCCTTCTGCACCTAAACACGTCCCACAGCGCCCTGTGATGCTGATCCTTTTAGTCCATCAGCAAAGGACGCAGAACGGGGACATTCCAAAGATGGAGGGAAAAGGTGTCGGAAGGTTCTAGAAGGCAAGAGGCCGCCGATCGGACAGAGCAGATCCAGCAGAGAACATAAAGTTCTGAGCCGGTGGATTCGGCCGGTGGAGATGTCAGCCCTACGGAGAAGCACGTATCCCGGAAAGGAACGGTGACAGCTAGCAAGTGTATATTTGTGCCTGCGACGTCTGTTAGTGGGACTAGACCTCGATTCAAGGTGGACTGGCAAAGGGGACGATCCGCAGTTGACTCCGGACAGCGTGGCCTCTCGGATGACGGCTAGGGAACAGGACCGGCCGGGGCGAGTGGGAGGAAACGCTTGGATCGTGAACGAATTCGCAGCTCTGGGTCGATCGTCCGTTCTGACGGCATGAACTGCTTCTCTAAAAGGATGTGATGTTTACTTGCCTCCGATGCTCAGGCGCACAATACCCCAGTTCGGCGGAGCGTCCTCATGCACCAGGCTGGCTTCCAGCACCGTGCCTTGCGAGAGATTTGCTTGGAACACAAACACATATCTTCCTGTGAAATTAATGGCCTCCAATGACGGCCGGTCCCAGGCCAGGTGAGCAAAGCCCTCACGTGCGCTCCGGCTAGAGGCGTGGCGGCCGTGGTCTAGAGCCTTGCTCAGTCGCGTCACGGTGATTTGCCGCAGCAATGGCTTTGGCGGCTGATGGGACCTGGAATGTCAGGCCCATGTGCGCCGTGGTTTCGTACGTGGTGTGGTGGGCGGCCAGGGAGTGAGGAAGGTTGCGGCAAACCACGGTGGCCTCTGTCCCCTAGCACGGGGGGTTCCCTGTGAGGCAGGAGCGGCCGGAAGGGGGCTTTCCGAGGTCCAGAAATCAGGGGCTGGGACAGGGAATTTGCACGATGAGGAAGGCGCCCTCAAATGGAGGGAGAAGATGCCTGTCTTGGGCAGAAGAAAGGCCCCCTCGGCTGTCCACGTCCTAATACAGCCCTGTGACCCCGTTTAGATTGCTGGCCTGCAGACTACTAGAGAATGAAGCCACTTAAGCTTCTGAGAATTCGTCACAGCCGCCATAGCAACAGAGGACGGAGGGTGGGCGATGGACAGCGGGGAGGTGGCCCATGCCCGGGGGAAGTAGAGGGTGTCCTTCCTTCCTTCCCTCCGCCTCCCGCCCACTTCCGTCCCCACGGCCACTGCGCTGAGGTAGAGACCTCAGAGGACGTGGCCATGTCGCTGACCCTCCAAGCCTCCCCTTGTGACCCCTTCTCTCCCATGACTATCTCCTCTCGAACCCTCACTGTTCTCATTACTTGCTCCCCCCCCCTTTTTTTTTAAAGTAATTTATGTTTTGATAAAATATATGTAATAAAATGTATTGTCTGTCTCTATGAATCTGCCGAGACCAGGTATTTCCTATAAGCGGAATCGTGCAATCTTCGTCCTGTTGCCCAGGGCTTATTTCTCCAGCAACATGCTCTCTTAGGCTGAGCGCTACCCCATGGCGCTCAGAGCACGTGTTTTGTTTACCCGTCACCTGAGGGTAGACACTTGGGTGGCCTCTGCCCTTCTGCCATCGTGACCAACGCCGCTGTGAGCGTTGGTGCGCGAGTGTGCGTTGGGGTTCCTACCTTCAGTTCTTTGGGATACGGGAAAGTGAATCATTGCAGCGCGTGGGACGTCGCCGTGTGACTTCTGGGGACAGCGAGGACAGTTTTTCACGGTGGCTGCACCGGGTTCCGTTCCTGTAGGGTTCCCATTACTCCACATCCTCACCGACACTTATTTTCTGTTTGCCGATTTGTCGGTTCCAATAATCACCTTCCTTGTCGGTGTGAACAGCACTCAGTCTTGATAGAAAGTCACAGCTGGGTACTGCACCCAGCAGGGGAGCTGGGCGAGGAGAAGCCTCCAGAATATTCCGGGACGTGAGTCTTCAACAGAAAGGGAGGGCGGGCAAGGGAGAATTTGAAAACTGGGTGATGGCCTTGAGAGTCCCACACACGTGGCCCTTAATGGGTCACAAATAGGCAGGCAAAGAACCGCACGCCGAGCCCCGGGAGGCCGGTCCCCTTCACCTGGCCTTCATCCCTTCCCCATCGGTGGCATTTCGGGTACACGCGTAAGGAAACGCACCTGTGGGCACCTTTCCCTTAGTGCTGCTCTCGGCGGAGCCAGAGACGTCACCGGGAACGGGGCCGCCCGCCCGCCCCCCCGCCGC